ACCTTGTGGCTGCCTATAAGTTCATCACGGGGGCACAGAAGGGAATTGGTGAGGCTTTACTCACCAAGGCGCCCCCGGGGGTTTCAAGAAATAATGGCCACAAGCTAGCAGAGAGCAGATTTAGACTAGACATTAGGAAGAACTTCTTCACAGTTCGAGTGGCCAAGGTCTGGAACGGGCTCCCAAGGGAGGTGGTGCTCTCCCCTACCCTGGGGGGCTTCCAAGGAGGTTAGATAAGCATCTAGCTGGGGTCATCTAGACCCAGCACGCTTTCCTGCCTATGCAGGGGGTCGGACTCGATGATCTATTGAGGTCCCTTCTGACCCTAGCATCTATGAATCTATGAAAAACCAATTTAACCCAAAGCAGTTCATTCTGATACTACATCCATCCAGGTTTATCTTAAGTGGTTTCAGCCATTGTGAAAGCAGTTTATGTGGACTGCACTTCTGGTGCGTTACAGATTTAAACTGGTTTCTAATAACTTCTGCTGGTTTATCTGTAATTTTTGTCCCTAGCCCTGATGAATGGCATAGGCCTGAGCTGCTCAGAGCTGTCCTGAATACACGCCCTTGCTCCACTTGCAGACTCCAGCCACTCAAGCCCATCCCCGAGCCATCGATACTTCCTTGTTTTTGGGCACAGGTGGCACAAGCGGGCGGGGGTTGTTCCTCAGCTGGGCACCTGGGCTCACTGCAGCACCCATGCAGGCAAAGCCGTCGTTCCCTTCTGTAACAGGTAGACTTCAATTGGTCACAACAGCGGTGGGAGTAAGAGTTCACAAAGAAATGGGGGAAGGTAATTCAGGAGTCCTGTCCCTCTTAGGGCTTAGTCCAATGGCCAATAGAGAATGACAGTCTTTGAGAGGAATTAGCTTGGAGTTCCTCTGTTTCAGGTCCTTCGCTTCGCAACAGAGGGTCAGACACCTCCTCTGCAAACAGGCTCGAGAATCCCCTCGTCCCGGGTAGCAACGCTGGTCGTGGTGGGAGGACGGGTTCTCCCTAGGTGAGTCTCGCAGGAGTACAGAGCGCTAAATTAGCACGGCAAGAACGCCGCATACTTTTGCATTGACTTTACTGTACGAGACGGTTCACTACAATCAGGTTCGACAGCATCTCAAGCACACTTGCACCGCTCCCTTTTTATGGATTCAGAATGATAATATCTACTTGGAGTTAGCTTTACATGCACGATTCCCTTTGAGTACATTACTGCGGTATATTATGCCGGGGAATAAAAATGTCAGTCAAAAGAAAAACAAATTTTAATTCTGCCATTGCAAACCCACATCCTTTTTTCTGCTGGTTTTTTTTTTTTTTTTTGAAGTTCCTATGGGAGAGCAGATAAACCTTCAAAAAATGAAAATACACTCTCTCACAAATTATTTTGCTTTTGGGGTCACATTTTAATCAAAACCATACCTGCCTCCAGGATAAAAAAAAAGAAGTAAAAGTGATTGAATTTAATAACTAAAAGAACATAAACTCTCTGCTTTGAAATGTATAATCTCACATGACATTTATTTCCTAATGCGACCAAATCATATATGTTGTTATGGGGACACTCTTTATTAAAAATGCCATTTATTTTAACAAGAGCAATAAAGGGAAACACATACTTTTTCTTACCATGGCGGAGGAAAAGTGCTATTAAGCCGCTTTCAGCTAAATGAAAACATCTCTCTTAAGATTTGCTTTAAAATATTTAAATAAAGTGATTTGGAATTTATTCATTTGCTGCCTTCCAGCATGAATAGAAACACATTAAATTATCCTAAATACAGAGGAATTTGTTTCGGTTACGACTATCCTTTGCTGATGAAGAATAGGATCATTTAAACATAACATTTTAACGTAGGCCTGCAATTATGTCACAAAGGGCCTCATTTCATGCAAGGGAAGAGTTGGAAGAGTTTTCTCTTAAGCTTACCTTGGCACATGCAATCTGGTTCACAGTCACAAGACTAGATACTTGGGTCTTTCGGAGCTGGACCCGGCATCAGTACTAGGAGCATTATAGATCAGGAGTCTGGTTCAGTCCAGCTGGAAGGGGGCTGGGTGTCGGGGAGGGACTTGTGGGGGCAAGGGTACTCGAGCACCTGCTCCCTCCTGGCTTGGCCTGCAAATAGAAAGACTGGAGCCCTGGCCCTTGGGTGTTTGAGGGATGGTTTCTTGATGGCATCTTTGGACGTGCATGGGACCCCTTTGGGGACGAGGAGAGTCATGCCTTCTCGTCCTTCCTACACAGTCTCAGTGGTGGGAGCTGGCTGTTTCATATTGCGTCCTCCATATAGTTGGCTGTGTAAAGAGTGATGTCACCTTACTGAGTCATGGGCTCTTTCTCAAATGCCTGTGGAGCAGCATATTTTTAAGCATCACCCATGATTTTTCACTTACTTGAATCATCCCCCTTCCCCATGGCTTATTGCCACACTTGGTCCCAAAATGTTTGAATAGCCTGATAGTCTGTTCTGATGCTAACAGTAAAATAAAATAAAATAAAATAAAATAAAAAATAACAACCCTCCCCCGCTCCCCGCACAGCAACTCACAGAGCTATTGCAAAACCTTACAGTGTGATTTCCAAGTAAGCCAGGCATATGACTGCCTGGGCAATGAACAGCTTTGCATGCCATAACTGAGCAGTTCTGTGGGCAAATGGCAATAATTAATCATTTATATATGTAGAGGTCTGCTTCAGATGCAGAGTTTGGGGATTGACAAGCGGCTCCCCCAGAAAACAGCCCTAGGTCCAGGGAGGGGACAAGGGTTAAGTTTGAAACCTGGCTTCCCTTCGGATCATTTTGTCACATGCCAAAGCCTTGCTATCGTGTTTCTCCCCGCTGCATGACTTTTCCAGACTCTTCTGCCCCCTTCCCTGAAGGCTTTCTCTCTTGTAGTCTGACTCCAACCTGGGGTGCCCGTTTTAACTCTAATGGCCCCCTTCACAAGATTGACAGTGTGATTAACGTACGCCGGGCCTCTGGAGGCGTGCGTGATCAAACCGAAGAGCCGCCGGGTTTGACAGGTGTGTGATGATCCGGCTTCTCTCTCTCCTCTCTCGATGACTTCCAAGCTGATCTGCCTTGCCGGCGTCTGACATCAGTGGCAGGAGATAAGCAGCAGCTTGAGTCAATGCAAGGGTTGGGGGGGAGAGCCGCACAGAGATGCAGATGGACTTTGTTTTCAGAGTCAGCGGAAAGATCTGAGTAGGCATCACATATTTAACAAGCATAACTACTGCAGGAAAAAGGATGTCGACTCTATTGGGCTCCACGCAAGGACAGCTGGGTGCAATTGTGCATCTTTTGTTACAGCTCTTATAGTTCCTTTTAGCCTTAAAATCTTTATATTTGGGGCGGGGGGTGTAGGGAGGGGGAGTCTTTTAATTTATGGTTTCTGTAATTTCCCCACACTTCTCCAAGAACTGTGTAGGAAATCCCTTGGACAGACAGCTCATGAGATTCTTGTTAAATAAAACTTACCTGACAACACACCAGAAGGAAGAGGTGCTCTAAATCCATGACACCCATCCATCCAGGGGATTGTCTGGACCTCCCAGCTGTCCCAGCTGCTTGTAGCTATGTCAATTAAGATAGGAAGAGTTGCAGGATCTGAAAGTCAGTTCTTGGTTTCCATCTGCACATGCATATGCCTAAAAAGCCATAGCTAGACGGTGGCTACAAGAGCGAACTCACACATGTTCTCCCTGATCCCATTCATCCATGGCTCACAAGCCTGTCCAGCATCTCAGACAAAGTGTAGCAGGGAAAAGTAGCATGTTGCCCCGTACTGTCCTTGATCTGTCTGTGCCCCTGTGCCTACTCCATTGACCAGCTTGCCTGTGCTCTTACAAGATAACTGATGTTATTGCCCCCAAAATGTTTTCAGTATATGAGCCAAACTTATCTTTAATTAGCCTCTGCATAATGCCTTGAAGACACAGTGACATGCTGATGTCTGGAGGAAAATCTATGAAACCTGGACAGATCTTTTTACAGTGAAAATGGATTTAACTGCAGTTAGAGACCCATTAGAGATATACTGGCCCCGTTAGGTATATATTATGTGTGTTATATCCCTGCTACGTAGGGATAGCAAACAAACAAAAAGGCAGCGACAATTATATCAAAAGTGCAAAAAGACAACAACACATACGGCACATTGTGGAGACATAAGTGAAAAATCAGAGGTGATGATTTATTAAAAGCCAATACAGAAGATTCGTCGGTCTTGGTAGTAACTGAGTGAAATGGTGCAGATGGGATATTTGTAAAAGTGATAGGCAGGTTTGGGGCATTTTATCTTGAGCCTTATTGCGCAGTGTGGGTGTGGGGGTTTTGCAAGGATGGATTTTAGGAAATGGCCGGTCTATAGGAGAATGATTAAACCCACCTAGGTCCAGCCTGTGGGTTTTGTCTGAGGTCTGTATACATGTCTCCGTCAAACAGAAACTCTATTTTGTTTGTCACGCTGGTCTTTGCCTTCCACCCTCCAGCTTGGACTGAATACCCCACATGCTGTAGCACAAGGCTAACTGTGGAGGTTTAATCTGAAGTGTCAAACCATAGCATTGCACTTGCTCTAAGCAAGAAGCCAGCCCCTATCAAGGAGAACAGGTTTCACCTGGGGGAGCTGATATAGCACTCAAACCACCTGGCCTGGCTCTGAGGAGGCTGATGGAGGGATTGGCAGGCTCCACCGAGCCAGGAGTTGGGTTTGACTCGGTTCAGCTGCATTAGAAGCCCTTTCAAGCTGAGGTGGGTGAGCCGAGCCGCTCTTCTGAATGCAGACAGAGCCCCAGGGACTCCTAAGGGAAGGGTGAGTTGGCCAAAGAGATGGGGCATTGAGGAAGCTGTTTGGTGTTTGTGATTGATAACGGTTTGTGCTGCTTTTATTCATGTTTTTAACTGAAAAGCAGTAGGGGATTGACATACTCGGTGCAAGGCCTTTCAGCAGCCATTTGCTCATGCCTCCCAAGGAACTGCACTGCAATCCAGGAGCCTTGCTAACACCTGGGGCAAGTCAGGAAAGGCTGCATTTGAGTGGAAGTCTGTTGTCGAGACTGGGCTTTCAGGGAAGGCCGCTGGGTGCTGAGCTCCAGGCCTCTGAAGAGTTGAGAGAGAGGGGCTGTACCTTGGGAAGCCCCCAGACTGCAGGGGCAGTGCTTCTACTGTGACCCAACCTCTGCAGCTTAAAACACCTGGTTATTCAGCAGTGAGGTGTCATGACCATAATCTGGTGAGTCGACAATGGGGTGGTCGATTAGACATGGTCACGTAGGGTTGCCAACCCTTCCGGACTGGCCGGGAGCCTACCAGAATCAGCATTGATCTCCTGATTGAATATTGAAAGCAATCCTGGAGATTTTAATAGGATATGATTTTAATAGGAGGTTTTAATAGGATTTTAATAGGATATGCAGGGTTTAATGACATTACATCATGTTGGGGGGGGAAAAAATCTCCGGGAATAGCTTCAATCAGAGTTGGCAACTCGATGGTCATGTAGGGCAATAAGCGCTTTCATTTACTGTATCTGTTATTGAGGCTTTCCTATTATTTTTTTTACCCCCTCTTAAATGGGTGGGCTGTTTCTTGCAAATACATGCAGTAGTTTTAGTTCGGGTGCAAAACAGTGGTGAAAGGGACTGCATGGCTGAATGGAGAGAGAGAGAGCCGAATGTCAGATCTGGGCACTCTTACCTGTGTCTCAAAAGGAAGGAGAGCTGTCACATGTCTTGAATAGTTCACGAAATCTGCCTTTGAGCACCCAAGAGGATGGGGCCAAAGGGATAAGATGGAGGGATTGAAAGTGGAAACTACTTCGCTGTGGGTGACAGAGGAAAAGCCCTTGTGCTTTCTGAGGAGGAAGGAAGGAAGTCTTATAGCTTGCACAAAGTCTTTGCTGTTTGCGGCAACGAAGCGCTGGGGTCACAGGAGCGAGGGGCAACGAAAGAAAGGTAGATCCAGCCTTTGAGAAGTCAGATGGAAACTCTGCCCTCTGATTCCTACAACCTCCTTGTTGAGTCGCATTCTCCTTTCTTATAAACACCTTCCCTCCTTCATATGGGCTGTTATTAGCTTTTGGAGAACAATTTGAGATCTTTAGACACCAATTAAGGGCAAAACTAAACTGGGAGGGCCAGATTCTGGAGTCCTGTGTCCTGTTTGGCACCCTCCCCCCTCCAGAAAGGATGTGGACACGTTGGAGAGAGTCCAGTGGAGGGCAACGAAATTGGTTCAGGGGCTGGGGCATGTGACTAACAAGGAGAAGCTGAGGGATTTGGGCTTATTTTTACATGTGCATGTGCTGCAGCGCCGGGCACTTTGCAAAGCTCCCGGTGCTGTGATGCTTACAGTTGTATAAGTGTCAAAATGCACGTCAGCATGCAGACAACGTGGCGGTCTACTTTGAACTACAACACCTCAAAGGTGTTTTAATGCAAAAGCGCACCGCCACCATTTTCTCTGAGCTGATGTGCGTTTTGCCACTTATCCAATGGCAAGTGATGCAGCATGGCGTGCATCGGCTTGCGTGCAGAGCCGACTCGGTTCACTTGCTTCATTAGTTGCAGCACAGCGCGGGCTCGATTAATCGCAGCCTGAAAAAGTATGTGAGGGGGATTGAATAGCAGCCTTCAACTCCCTGCAGGGGGGCTGCAAAGAGGATGGAGCTGGGCTGGTCTCAGTGGGGGCAGATCACAAAACAAGGAGCAATGGGCTCAAGTTGCAGCAAGGCAAGGTGAGGATGGATATTAGGAAAAACTTTCTCACTAGGGGAGCAGTAAAACACTGGAACAGGTTACCCAGAGGACTCGGAGGTTTTTAAGACCTGGCTTGACAAAGCCTTGGCTGGGATTATGTAGTTGGGGCTGGGGCTGGCCCTGCTCTGAGCAGGGGGTTGGACTGGATGTGACCTCCTGAGGTCCCTCCCCACCCTCATGGCCTGCAAATCTACGATTTTGCTCTATGCCGCTCCTGCGATTCCACTGACAAATTCCAACCTGGCAAACCATGTGCTGTATTAAAAATTCCTGAATGCAATAATTACTGTGCGCCCTAGGATCTGTATTTTTATGTGGCTCTTTTTTGATGATCTCCTTTTAAGATGTATATAGGGAAGCAAAAGCCCTTGAGGCCCCAGCTGATTTATATGGGTGGTTCAGCACGGCATAACGAACACAGCGCTGTAGTGAGAACATTGCTGAGCGGACAGCTTCTGCATGGTGCTTGCTACTGAGCCTCTGAGAGAGCAAGTTTTACAAGTAAGAAATTTTATTACAGGAGAATTCGCCAAGAAGCGATCGGGGCAGCACAGTGCCCACTTAAAACAGAATGGATGTCATTTAGCTTTGATAAATTGACTGCTGAGCCCTCTTTAAAATTTAAAGCAACGCAAACTTGATTAATATTCAGAGTCTTTGCTGTTTTACAGCACTCCGTCAGACTAGGTTTCTTGCCAAGAGTCAAAGCAAGCAGTGGCATTAGCCACATGTGGTAATGAACCCCGTTGCCTAATACAGTTTTGCACTTGAGCGGTCTGAAGTGAAGCGCCGAGTGCCTGCTGCATCAGTTTGACTGGGGCACATGACTCAGGATCCTGGCTGCCAGCCCTGCAAGGATACCCAGCATAACTCCAGGAAAAGAAATAGGATTTGAAGTCCATGGCAAAATGACAGGCTGTCAGCTTAATTTCCACCCTACTGGGAGTCGTCCTCTGAGAACGCACAATTCCAGTGGGCGTAAAACCAACCAGCCTTACGAATCCCTTTCTGTAGTACTTGATGTGCGGCTATGTAGGCAGAGAGGGAGTAAAAGCAGGGCTGGATTAATACATAGGCAAGCTAGGCACGTGCCTAGGGCCCTAAGTGAAGAAGGGGCCCAGTTATGCTTATGTTATAACTATTATAATTATTGAGTGAAACAAAGTAAGGTAAGTGTATGGTATTAAGTAGGGGCCCATGAATTTGCTTGCCTAGGGCCCACTAAAGGGTTAATCTGGCCCTGAGTGAAGGGCTGGATGTGGACAGAGGGGTGGGAAAAGGGGTGACATTTCCATTACCTTTGGGGGCATTGGTAGGTGCGGCATATCGGGGCAGCCTCTGTAACCTTCACCAGAGTTAGAAATAGAGCTCCCCAGGTCTCTGCTTGATGATTTGCTGAGTCCATATCCATATCGCTTGCTGAGTTCAGGACTACCATGAGGCAAATGAATCCCACGGCTCCCCCCCTGACCTGCCAAAGCTTGGTAATTGGGGCCATGCAGACTGCTTGAAGAAGTCCTGTGCCTGTGGTCTAGCACTGCTGTCCTTGGATCTGGCCTCCAGCTCTTCCAGTGATATTTTATAAGCGTAGCTTGGGCGTACACAGGGTATGTACCCCCCTTCTCCAAATCGAAGGAGATTGTCAGCAGGCAGAGGTGCTGTGGGAGGGAGCTATCAACCGCGCACAGTTTCCCCTCAGTTCCCGATAGAGTCAGGCCAGGACTCAACTGCTTAACTATATACAGGTTTATTAATCAATAAAATAAAGTTATACACACACATGTGCATATGCATGTATATACATATCTACAGATAAGTAATCACTTAATCAATGATGCATGACTCATACCTCCTACAGAGCTTCAACCCACACTGGTTCCAGATCCATTACTTACCTGGAAGTATAAGCAAACGCAAGTAAATACGGCACATCAACTGGGATAACTGCAATGAGCTATTTACAGTCCATGAAAGAATGTAGTCATGTATGCATGCAGTGGAAATCAAAGATAAAACACACTTGTACTCGTATAACAGGGAAACCTCAACTGACAAAATAAATGGTGCAAACGACAAAATAGGAGACTCCTGCTCATCGTTCCGGGTGTTGAAGGTGCTACTATGCTAGCATCTCCCCATTCAGTTAGGGGAAGCCTGGCTGTAGCTCTGCCAGGGGAAAATGGGACAACACTCCCGGCCCCTTCAACCCTTTGTGGGCTGGGATGGGACCCCCCTACCTCACAGGGGCCCCTGCTGGCTCCCTCCCCTGTGGGACACCCTTGTTCCCAATGCTCATGACCCCTTGGTGATGGGGGGGCTGCTCTGGCTCTCTGGGCTGGGTGCCTGTCCTGGTACAGTGGCTGGCTGCTGCCCAGGTCTCTCCCCCATCCTGAGACCTGCTCATGGCCCTGTTCACCAACCCATGTATCATTTGGCTGGCTCCTTATGGCAGGGGTTGGAGGCCTGGGCCTCCTCGTGCAACACGGGGGCTCGATCAGCTCCTGGACCTGCTGGGTGGTGCTGCTGCATCAGCAGCCCGGCCGCGTGCCAGGGGTTGGGGACCCAAGCCACCTTGAAACATCTCCCAGAGTCCCGGTCAGGTCTTTGACCCTCGGTGCAGTGATCTCTAAGCTATGCTCTTGGCCGTCTGCTGGGATTGCAGACCCGAGCCACCTCGAGCGGCTCCCAGGGTCTGGGCTCTGTGCACTGATCCGTGCACTGCTCCTTGGCCCCCTGCCAGGGGATGCAGACCCGGACTGCTGCAAGCAGCCCCAAGGTCTGATCCCATGCACCGTTCTGTGCACCGAAGGGGCTGAGGCATCGGTCCCAGTGAGGGGGGCTTTCTGGGTGCTGCTTTGCCCACTGGGCAGCTCTTCCCCAGCTCTGGGCACACGGCTCCTTTTATTCACTTCAGAGGCTCTACCTCGAAGTGTTGCTGGACCTGCAAAATGGAGACTTCACTCGGGTCCAGAAGGCTCTTGGCCCCTGACTTGCAGGCAGGGTGGGATTGGCCCCGCCCAGCCCTTACTTGATTGGTGGATGGGCTCTACCAATC